TATGTACTCTGCATTTTTAAACTGCAGAGGTTTTTTAGCACTGTGAAGATTAATGAATTTTTCATTGTGTATGCATTTGTGATCACAGCCTGTTTCTTTGCATACATCTAGAATAAATGGATGCTTGTTTACTTAATATGCACACATACGCACAAATACACACTTAGAATAATAGTATAACTTATGGCTGCATTTATAGACTCACAATCTGTTTGATATAGTTTTGACCACTTTGGGGTTCAAAGTAAACTTTAGTATTTGATGAAAGATCTTTGCTTTAGTGCTGCCTGCCAGTTCCCTTCTGGTAGCTGTTTGCAAAGGTCTGCTTTAAAGAACAGTCAAATGAAGAAAGTGGTGTTATTTCAACAAAGCCAGAAACATTCTTTTTTGTTTGTAAATATTAGTACATCCTGCAGGCTGGGCTAAGAGCTGCCAGGCGTCCTGTCATTTTAATAGGACTGGTTGATGCCAAGTTTCTGTCAAAGATCCCGTGGGCAATGCATTAGTTCAGGAACATGGGACTGCCATACCCCCCCTTTTTGACACGGACTTTCCCTTTAGGAAAAAATACTTTTTCGTTAGGAAAAAAGTCAACAAATTCCTGGGGAGCTGGTTTCCGTCACTATTCAAAATAATGAGCCACAAAAGAAACATTTCATGTAATGTTTTAAGAAGGCCGGATTTGGCAACAGGGTAAGAAACCCAGATCTCTTTCTTACTTCGTGTTAAACAGGGAGATGACAGGCCGTGAAGAATTGGGTGGCCCAAAAAGAGTTGGAAAATATACCTATTTGACCTTCTGAATTTAGGACAACAAGATAGGTCCATGAAGACATGGCAGTTGATTTTGGACATTTACTTATTGATTCAATTTATTACTATTCAATCCCCCCCCTCAAATTCTTGGGCTCTTATGGATTATATTTTCCCCAAATTGTCAGGTAGTGAGTATCACTCTGTGCTGATTGCCTGCTTGTTGTCCTCCCAGCTTATGGATGATAGTGAAATTTCAGGAGGAAAAAATCAAGCCCTTTCTACAATTCAGCTAAGGTATACAAATATGCAAATTTCTACTCTCAGAACTGATTTAGAAAACTATCTAATCAAATTCTTTCGACTAGATGAAAGGGGAAGAGGCAACTTATAACTTAAGTGAGGAAGGTCAAATTTGCTATTTTTTGTTCTTTATAAAATTAAACGGCTTGCCCACTTTTATGTATGCTCTTTTTTATTGTTATTATCAGAGATCTCAAAAACTGTAAACAACCTATATTACTCTGCTTTCTCAAATGAACAGTTTTGGCTTTATATACCTAAAGTAGATACTTTAAATCAATAAGACTAAAATTAATCATGGCTATTGAAAGAAGACTATTGGTTTTAATGGCTGTCTTCAGACAATCTCTTCCAATATTTTCACTCAAATGAGGAAACTGCTCATGTATTGATCTTGCCAGTGCTTTTTTTCTAAAAAAAAAAAAAAAAAAAAAGGTGCCGGAACTCACACACGTCATACAACCCACCTTGCCTACCCTATAAGGTTCCATCCAAAAAAGGTGCCGGAACTCCGTTCTGGGCGTTCTATGAGAAAAAAAGGCCTGGATCTTGCCAGAGATCAAAACTGACAAAATCTCAGTAATAGAGGACCATTTTAAAGGCAGCATGTTTCTGCCAGTTCCTTTCACAGCCTGGTGAATGCTCTGGACAATGGCTTTCCTCACAATTTGCCTCATACAGTATCTTTTCATTAACTATTATGCTGTGCTGGGAGGATGTGATCCTGCCATACAAATGTAGTCTGCAGGAAAGCAAATGAATAAATTAATCCAGTTTAAGATTGATTTGGATTGATGAACAATTTTTTCAAACAGTAATTGAAAGATATCTGTTTTCCAATAAGACTCCCATTCATAGTCTATAGTAAATTCATAACTGAACACAACAGTATAGAACAATAAAGCCACACCTCCTCTATTCTGAACTTCACTAGCATCGATTGATAAAGTCTTAGGGCCATTTGGGGCAATCAGGGATGAGATGATGGGTAAAAAAAAATCAAAGTGGCAACTGTAACCATGTGTATGAAGTTGTTCCCTTTTTAAAATGTGTGTCGCCATCATCATTATCATATCCTTTGATTTTTCATTGGATGTGGGGGGTCTTTGGCACTCTCTGAGTTTGGTTGTTTTCTTCCAGATATGTTATCACCAAACTAGGTAACATCATCAGAGCTAGTTGGGAGTGGGGCTTGCTCTCAGTTTATATTCTAATAGCTTGCCCTATTAGTGTTGGTGGGAGTCGTCTTACTAGTTTTTTGATTGGGTTTTTGTTTACTGGTAGATTGTTTGGCAGTTCTTTGATTAATATTGTTATGGTTTGTTGGCCTAATCTTGGTGTTAATGTCTGATCATCTGGGTGTTGATTAGTGGTGAGGAGATGTTTTGGTCTCTTTGTTTTCTTTGTGACTTTTTGATTATCTCTTTTCAATGGTATGTAGAGGTTGTTTATGTCCATGTGCCTGCTGATGTCTGAGTACTAGGCTTCAATGAATTCTCTTGCATTTTTGGACTTGGCATGGTCTAGTGTGTTGATGGTTCTAAGTTAAAACATGGTTAAGTCTGTTTGTGCGTTATGAAACTAAGGAGTTTTCATCATGTCTTCTGACTGCTTGTTGGTGTTCATGGATGCGTTCTGCCAGTTTTCTGCCTGTTTGTCCTATATAATGGATGTTGTAGTCCTGACACTATTTTTTCTTCAGGGGCTGCTGGGTCTTTTGGTTTACTTACAATATTTTGGAGGACTTCAGTTGGTTTGTGTGCTACAGTGAAGTTATGTTGTAATGAGGGCATATTACAGAAATAAACCTCCGTTTGAGCATGTGTGAGAAATAGGCGGGATAGCAATGCCCGTCCTATGACATCATGTGCAGTAGTTTAGTAGGCAGTGAGGAGTGGAAGGAGATTGATTCATCTGCTAGATCAATTGAAAATGAACCCTTCCATAGAAAATTCCGCCAAATGTGAAGTGTGTGCAGTAATACGATTCCTGTGTGTGAAAAAACTTTGGGCAGCTATGATTCATCATGAACTGTGTAATGTGTAGGGACCAAATGTGATGAGTGATGATGTCACATGCCAATGGTGTCACATGCTTAAAGATAGACAAACTGACATGCACAATGAAGCAAGAAGTAGTTACCCGTCTGTAGTCAGCAATGAACTCGTGCAGGAAATTGATACAAAGATCTGTGAAGTCCCTCGGTTCATGATATCTGCACTTTCTTTACACTTTCCCCAAATTTCTCAGCCTGTTTTGTATGAGGTAGTGACAGAAAATTTGACACATCACAAGTTCTGTATTTGTTGGGTACCAAAATTCCTTTCTGAGAAGCACAAAACACACCAAATGGGGTCTGCTTCCTTATGTTGAGGAAGGAGAACTATTTCTTAACAGAATTGTGACTGGTGATGAAACCTGAGTGTTGTACCCCGAAAGCAAACAGCAATCAATGGTGTGTCATAGACACTCACCAAAGAAACCCAAAAAAGCTCAGCAAACATTGTCTGCCAGAAAGGTTATGGCAACAGTATTCTGGAATGCCAAAGGAGTACTGCTAGTGAAGTTCACGGAGTATGGTTTGACCATCAGTTCAGAAGTCTACTGTGAAGAATTATGAAAGCTCAGACGAGCCATCCATAACAATGCTGACTTCCGGTGTGGTTTTGAAGCAGTTCCATTGGGATGTTTTTGTTCAGCCCCCCCCCCCCACTATAGCCCAGACTTGGTGCCGAGCGACTACCACCTCTTCAGGCACATGAAACAGTGGCTTACACTGCACCGCTTCAAAGATGATAATGCATTTCACAATGCTGTTACAGGCTGGCTTTATTCCCAGTGGGAGATTTTTTTGCAGAAGGAATTTCAAACCTAGTAAAACATTATGACAAGTGCCTCAATTTGAATGGCAATTATGTCAAAAAGTAATGTAATGTTGTAGTTTTCTAATGTGTATAATAAAAGATCTGTATCTGCAAGTGTTTGTCATTGAAAACCAAATGGAGGTTTATTTCCAAATTGTCCTCATAAATACTTTGAGTATCTTAGACCAAGCCAAGTCCAAAAACCTGGGGCCCCAAGGGGGACACTCACCACTGGAGCTGGTTGACGGGATAAGAAAATCTCTTCCTTGGGCCATCCATCTCTTAATATTCGTTTTTGTACAGTTTTTAAATTTTAATGTGCATAGTTTTAATATTTTCATATATTTCAATTATTTTTCTTTGTTTTATAACTTGTAAGCCCCCCTTAATTACCTTATATAGGGAAGATGGGTGGCATAAAAATTAAATAAATAACTAAATAAGTGGAGCGGGAAATTGTCATCAGTATAATGATATTCAGATTTCACTTTTCTCACTGTAAAATGTTTTCTAGAACTGACATATTAGAAATACGCTCACTAGGAAAATATGGCAAAATTGACTGTACTAATTAACAGTAAGAATTTATCTAGTTTTGTTTCCATTTTGAAACCACTTCTGGATTTTGTACTCAAAGCTGCAAAAAATGAAACTTTAATTTTAAGTTTTAAAATGACTTTGTTGTTGCAGAAATGGTTTGTAACATTTAGCAAAAAGTTAAGGCTGTGACTTTTTTTATATTCTACTGCCCAGAAACCACTTGCTTTCCTTTCTTTTTCATTTCTTTCTGTACTTCTCTCTTTAAATTTCTCACATTTTGTTTCTATTTGTATTTTATCTTGTAAGAAACTTTAAAAAGTGAAAAAATATTAGAAATATGAATTTATGCTTTTTCATAAAAGTAACTAAAATGAAGATTCATAAACATGGAAAGCACGAGCCACATACTTAAACCATCTGTGTTGTACATTTTTATTTTAGGTTAAAAGGGAATGAGATGGATACACATGTCAGACTTCCAGGATATTTGTTTTTGCAAATGAGCAGAGAATCCAAATGGGCTGAAATCTTTCCGTGGAGGCTAATCAGTGCTAATCAGAATGATGTTTTTTCATTACTCATAACATTAATTAATAATTTGGTCCAATAAAAATTAAGCAAAAACTTGAAAAAAGGTTTGTGTTTGTTTCCCAATGTTTCCTAAGTTATGGAGATTTTGTTATACTGCTTCCTTTTTAAAAATACATTTATTTTTTTTCCCAAGCTGTTTCTCCAGGTAGCCTTCTAAAACATTGCCCTATTTAAACCTTTAAAAAACATTTTTGCACTCAACTTTTAGAACTATTCCTTTTTTAGGGATGAAGTTTTAATGGGGAATTTTGACCAGATAACTACTAATGAACAGTATTCATACAGTATCCATAGTTCTACTTTGGTAGAGTCTGATAATAGATCCCTACAGGAATCTTGGGGAGATTTATTTTAAATTCTTAGGTCCTTCCATTCTTTTCTTAGAGTTGAGAGTCTTAACCTCACAGCTTCCACCTAAAGAGAAGAAAAGGGAAAATAAAATAAAAAAAAGAAGAGATTGTGGAATAAGGAAAAAGGAAAACCTTGCATAGATGATCTTTTCATCTCAACAAAGAAATTTATGCCTCATAGATTTATTTCATTTCCATGCCATGCACCTAATACTTTATTTATACTTTTCTTTTATCTTTCCATGTGTGATTTCTTCTATAATTAATTATGATACTTTATCCGCCTGTTAAATACAGCTCAAAATATTCTGCATGCTATCAAAAACCATAAGTGTGATATTTTACTTGAGTTACAAAAAGATTTATGGGAAGGACTCCAGATGTCACCTATATCTGCCATCACTCTTTCTCATTAGCAGATTTTACAGATAGCTCAAATAGGATTGTCTGTCTCATATTTTACCTCTGCTTCTTCCTTCCCTTTTTCCATACTAGGAAAATACAAAGTTAAAGAGAAAAAGAAACAATTGCACAAAACTCTACTCCTGGAATCATTCCTAGAAGAGAAAAAGAAGCACAATTATGTGAATCAGGCAGTGTGGCTGCATAATAAAAGTCTTGTCTGGAAGCACTGTTGGTCATATTCCCATCTGATTTCATGACATACATCTATTTACTAGTGACAAGCACATTGGTTTCCACACATATGCATTTTATGCTTGTTTGACCATTGACCATATGGCAGCTGTGTCCTGTGGGCTGCTTTATTATCCCAGCTGGAGATGCAGTAATTTTGCGTAGCTGTGATATTACAATAATTGAACAAGACATCTTTGAAGTGAGGTGTAGAAAACAACAGTTGGAACCATCCACTTCATTTCAAGCTTGTGCTTTAAAAATAAAATCTTTTATAAGTCAAGATATCTTTTAGGAAGATCCGTCTTTGATTAAGATGTTAAAAACAATTAAAACTTCTCTCGGAGGGAATCTGAAGATACTATGAATCTGGAAGTTCAGATACCTTCTGACAGATTTTCCATTTGATCTTGCCTGCGAGCAGCTGGACAAAGTGTGTGATCAGAGTGAATAAATTTAACCTATCACTTAAAATTATCCCCACATTTTGTGGTAGTGGACAAATACCACCTGCTGTTAGTGATTAAATACAAAGTACCTGGCTACTGTTCAGAATTATTTGGAGAGTAGGCTACAAAATATGAATGGCCAGTCTATTTGTATTGTCAGTCATTGTCCTGTAACACAATGACTGCCCTAACAGAGATATGTTCTTGAGAAGCATGACAGATAACCCCAATGAGATAGGGTTTTAATATTGTGTGCTGCATAAATCTCAACTGCAAGTTGGAATAGGAACCATCCTAGAATGGAAAATGGGGCCAACTACATAAACTGGATGCTTTGTTTTGTTTTCAGATTAAGAAATAAACAGAAACTTGTTCCAAAGCCTAATGAAAAGGTCAAAGTAAACTGAAGATCATGGAGAAAATTAGAATGATGGATACACTAAAAAATATGTTCTATCCCAAGAAAGCTGAAGAAAGTCCATTATTTTAAGACTGAAAATTATATCATAAATCTTTTTCTTTAACCAAGTTCCTTCGAGTAATGATAAGCTTCTACTCAAGGTCACCATAGCCAATAATCAAAAAAGTCACGCTAGCAGCCACCACTTTTTATTTCATGTAACTAATGCATATTAAAAATGAGTGAGTTTATGGTCATGGCTGCTATCTTGATCTTTTTCAAAGCTTATCTTATGCCACCGATATTCAGGCTAAAAACTTAAAAAATCCTCATTGTATCTTCGGAAAAGGTGCTGTATCTGCATGCTGGCATACTGTCTCATTTTAGCTATGTGTGGAATTATGCTGTAATTCTTTAACTTATACTAAAGGGATTTTGGTAATGAATTAAAATAGAGGTTTCCTTCTTTGGACTCTAAAACTGCTGAAGTTTAATGATCAACAAATGAGATTTGAACGTGGAGTTTGGCTCAATGGACTCTGTTATTTTCCCTCTCCTTGCTTATATCTCTTTTGTTGTTCAATAAAATAGGAATTTTCCACTGTCCATTTTTAAACCAAAGAAATTTTTTTGATAACTATTTATGTTTCTGTTTAAGATAAATCCAGTAATAGCCTATACACATATACTGATGTGCTGAGGCTGATTTACTTCATTTGAAGAATGTTAGAATTTATTGAGTTACTTTTATTAATGTGAGGTTGCTGGGACCAGATATTTTGTTGTTCTTCTGAAATATTTTTTGTTTTAAAAAAAGTCTCATAAGTAGCATATGGGAATGACTTTGGGAATGAAGAAAATTAGGATGGTGGCCCTGCCCATGTGGTTGAAACTCCACCCTGATGCACATAAAAAAATGGATATGGCTTTGATTTCAAGTTTGCAAGGTTGTTTTTTTTAATCCTTCCTATGAATGATTCTGGTGACATGTTATCATGAGACTTTCCTGTGATTTAGTTTAAGAGTGGGACGACCAGGAACATTCAGTGAAAGATAATATGCTCTAACTAATTATTAAGGGCAGTGCAATTAGTAGGATAATTTCTCTACAATTAGAGAAGAGTGCTTTGATATTGCAATTATTATTGTTATATTGTTATTACATATTATTAAATGGCTACATTTTGTGTAAGTTTAGAAGGCACTCTTCTCCATCTTTTTTGTTATTATAGTTTTTAAACTATTTTCTTTTTTTTTATTGAAAATTTTTTAAAGTTTTTACAAATAAGGAGAAAAAAAAATAAAAAACAAAAAACAACCCTACCCAACCACCCCAACCCTCCCAGTCCATCCCCCCCACCTTCCCAGAGCTGAATATAAGCTTGATTAAAATTTCTAAAAATCTTAAAAAAAATTAAAAAATATAAACCATTAATATATCTAAATACATTACCTAGGCTTATAAGATAATTAACAATAATATATATGAAAAAACAAAACAAAACATAGATATTAAAAAAGAGAAAAAAAATTACTTAAAAAGAAAGAGAATAAAAGAGAAAAGAAAGAAGAAAAGATATATATGTAAAAAAGAAGTAAAATAAGATGAGATAAAAATAAAAAATATAAGGAAAGAGAAGAAAAAAAAATACAATCTATAAAATATTAAAATTTATATATAGGTTATTGAAAAACTAAGTAATACTTTTTTATATCCAACTTATGTTGTATAAAATCTATCCATTTTTCCCATACCGCAAAAAACTTCTCTTGCGATTGATCCTTTAAAAAAGCTGAAATCTTTGCCATTTCCGCCAAATAAGAAACTTTAAAAAACCATTCTTGCAAGGTAGGCAAAGATTCCTTCTTCCAGTATTGCCCTACTAACAACCTTGTGGCTGTGATTAAATTTAACATCAGTATAACCTCCTTAACATTACAATCAGTAACAATACCCAACAAAAACAATTGTGGGGTAAATTTTACCCTCCTTCTAAAAATTCTTTGAATATTCCACCATATCTTAATCCAAAAAGCTTTTATATTTTTACACAACCACCAAATATGATAGTAAGTAGCATCCAAACAACCACATCTCCAACATTTAGGCTGAAAGTCAGGATACATACGAGACATTTTTTGTGGATCAAGGTGCCACCTATAAAACATTTTGTAAAAATTCTCCCTTAAGTTCTGGGCTTGCGTAAATTTAACATTCCTCACCCAGATGGTTTCCCAAGTGTCTAGTAGAACTGGTTCACCAAAATTTTGTGCCCATTTAATCATACATTCTTTAATTAGTTCTGGTTCTGAATCCAGTTCTACTAGCACCCCATAGATTCTCTTAATATGAGTTCGTCTTTGGTCTTTTACTTGTTTAAAAAGATTTTCATCTTCTCTAAGCAAACCCATATTACGATCTATCTTCCATCTATCCACTATTTGTCTATACTGAAACCATGAATATGTAATATTTTCATGTGCTAAGTCTTCCAAAGATTTTAAGTGCCAATTTTTACCATCCCATCTGAGTAATTGTACATAAGAAACACTATCCATCTTAACTCCTCTCCTTATCCCCTCTATCGCATGCAAAGGTATAGCCCATAATGGTATTTTAAAATCACTTTTATAATATTTCCTCCAAACCCGAAGTAAAGAAATCCTTATAATATGAGATTTAAAAACCCGGTCAACTTTTTTATTAAAAATTAAATAGGCATGCCATCCAAAAAGTAAATCCCAACCCTCCAAATGGAGTATTTCTGCATTTGTTAAATTAACCCAGTCACTAAGTAATGTTAAAGCCACAGCATCATAATACAATTTCAGATTTGGTACCTTGAGTCCACCTCTCTCACGAATATCTTGCATAATTTTAAGCTTTACTCTTGGTTTTTTCCCTGCCCAAATAAATTTATTGATACCTTTCTGCCATTCATTTAAGTTAACCTCATGTTTTTAAACTATTTTCAACAGGTTTTTAATGATTTTGTTTGAATTATGTTGAGATGAACATACAGGAAATGGATGGCTATACAAATTCAATAAATTAATATTACCATTATTACTATTGCTTTCTTATATACAGTGAGGCAAAAAAGTATTTAGTCAGCCACCAATTGTGCAAGTTCTCCCACTTAAAAAGATGAGAGAGGCCTGTAATTGTCATCATAGGTAGACCTGACAAAACGAAGACAACAAATCCAGACAATCACATTGTCTGATTTGGAAAGAATTTATTTGCAAATTATGGTGGAAAATAAGTATTTGGTCAATATCAAAAGTTCATCTCAATACTTTGTTATATATCCTTTGTTGGCAATGACAGAGGTCAAACGTTTTCTGTAAGTCTTCACAAGGTTGGCACATACTGTTGCTGGTATGTTGGCCCATTCCTCCATGCAGATCTCCTCTAGAGCAGTGATGTTTTGGGGCTGTCGCTGGGCAACACGGACTTTCAACACCCTCCAAAGGTTTTCTATGGGGTTGAGATCTGGAGACTGGCTAGGCCACTCCAGGACCTTGAAATGCTTCTTACGAATCCACTTCTTTGTTGCCCGGGCGGTGTGTTTGGGA